TTCGGATGAGGATGTGGAGTGACGCAGAACCCAGATATGACGCTGCAGTCTGCAGTATTGTAGTCAAGTCATTCTTGCGGGGAGTTGCCATGTGTCACAGCTGAAGCGACAGACGTTGCCCTGCCTCCGCCCTGAGCCCGTAGCGAATGGATCCGAAGCCTTGCCAAATCCTTGGCCTGCTCGCAAGCCTCACGTTCGAACTCAACAGGTCAGCGTTTTAAGGTTGCCCCGCACTGTCCGGTCCAATGTGCCAAACCATCAAGTAGTCAGGGTTTGTACTTCGAGTCCCAAGTGTCAGAGTTATGAAGTTTAGGGAATCTTGCGCTGAAGTTCGGCACTAGTAGGTAGGGGCTCCGGTTATCAGAAAGACTTCTTCGCCGGCCTGCGATGAGGCCTGCGGCGCCTTTGCTGTCACTGCGGCGGCAGCCTAGAAGGGAAGAACGTGCACATCTTCGGCCTTTTGGCTCCCCATCTCCCCGAGTCCGAGCCTCTGCACTTGCTGTGGCTGTGCTCCCTTTGCTCCCTTTGCCGGCCCAAGACTCCACGTCCTTCAGCTGGTTGCTGAGCATGATCTGGTCCTTGTAACTTGTAACAAATGCTAAAGATACAAGAAAGAATTATACATAAAGATTAAAGATGAACATTAAAACCAAAAGTAAAATTAAACATCATTCACCATCGCTCGTGCTCATGCTTCGGCCTCCTGCTACTATCTGCCGCGAAGTGTGTCGGCTGCCAAGGATCTCGCTCGGCCTCTGCCCAGAGAGGAGCAAAGGCATCTGCCGGCTGTCCACCCAGATGGCCGTGGTCCAGCACACACTGAGAAGCGAAGTCCACGCCCGCAAAGCCTGCGAGGCCACAGATCCGACGACACGCCGCGATACGGGAAGGCTAATGTAAGGGCTTTCCACAACATTGCGCCATTACACGATGGCAAGCAGCAAAGAGCAACGAAAACACCAGGCCCTAGCGCTCAGCCCACACCCTCTTGATTTTGTCGAGAAGTCCCCGGGTCCTTGATACTCCAGAAGCGAGCGCTTGGTACCCAGGTCATAGGGCCTCTCGGGTGGCGCGTGCAGCGTCTCCTTCCAGAAAGTCCCGAGCAAGCCACAGAGACCTCATCACGCGGTTTAGGGCTTCAGGTCGAGAATCTCGTGCCAGTCGGGCAATTATAGGCTATAGGGTTTGTGCTCAGAGTTTCCACTGCAATTGCTAAACGATCTTAGGTCTTAGGTTCTGTTGCAGAGAGCACGGTCCTACCAACTACGGGTTAGGCAGCCAAACATCGGGACGGGGCACGGTGCTTCGCGCGAGTTTCCCTTGCAATCTGCTCAGGCGTGGTTTGGACTTCTCGGAACCAATAGCGGTGTGCCCGGCTGCCCAGGTGGTACGCAAGCCTCAAGCTGCAAAAGGCAAGGCCCAAGTTGGGAGAGGCTTTTCATGTGCTTTGCACATACATTGAGTCGGGTCTCTCTTGTGTTGGGTGGAAGAAATCCCAGCCAGCTGTCCATAGTCTTGCAGACATGCCAATTTCCTCCCCGAAGAACCTCATCAGGACGGCCAAAGGGCAGCTTGCCTTTCACGATCCGAATGTGCTACATTGCCACATGGCTGATTCGGCTGCGGAGCACATACTCGAGGTGAGGGTCATATGGAACCTCCTTAACCACATCTCCACGCGAGAAAGCAAAGCGAGCCTTGCAGGGGCGAAACGAAGTGAGACAACTAATCACAAAAATTCAAATCGCCTCAGCTCCCGTGGCCCGGGTGGAGGCAAGCAGCTCAGGTCAGCACCGTCCAGAAGAGCGACGGCGGAGGCCTCTTTCCGAAGTCTGTTCGACATTGCCGCGTCTTGATTCGCAAGAATGGATCCTTGGCCAGTTGCTAATAATTTACCTCCCGAACCTCCGCAGGCGCCAACAATTGAAGGAACTACACCTCAACTTACAAAGAACAGAGTCATCCTTCTGCGCATCTCCGAAGGTATCAGCACAAAGGATGGGCACAGCCCGGCTTGTGGCCAGCTCGGCGCAGTCGGGCTTCCCAGGCACATAGTGCTTCGGAAGCGTGTAACCTGGGAAAAACGCCGAAGTCTACTAGCGGCTGTGTATGGTCTCTGGAATCTGGAGTTCTCCCATGTTTCACACTAGATCTGCCGTGGCAGACGGAAAGTCCTGTACTTCTTCGGATCTGTTTTGCGCGCGGGTCTGTCATGCACGATCAATGCAGAGCACAGGATACTCTTGCGGGCCCAATAAGGTGCGCAACACCAGCAACTGCTAGCTGGTTGCTAGATAATGAACTCCGCAGCCTTGAGCCAGAACAGATAGGGTTGAAAGAGAGACAGCGGCAGAGAGAGAGAGAGATGGAGATCGAGAGAACGCGAGCCAATGAACAAAGGGAGAGAGAAGAGAGTGACAAGGTCAAAATGGAGAGCTACACTAAGAGAGAGAAACAAAACAAGAAAGAAAGAACGGACGAGAGAAAGTCGGAGAGAAAGAGACAGGGACAGGAAGAGGGAGAGTCAGAAAAGAAGGGAGAACCACATCCTGTAGCAGTGTAGCAGCTTGAAGATGTGGGATAGCTACGGAAGCTATAAAAAAGAGCACATGTTCCTATGTAACAATGCAGCTTCGCATGTCTCCATGCAATCAAAAACAAAATCCCGGGAGCTGCCGGCATAGGTCGTGAGGATCGGCTTCTGGCTCTTGCAGCACGCCAGCTGCTCCAAGCAGAGCACGTCCCAATCCTGCACAAAACCTTGGCGGAATGTGATATTCGATCTGCAGAGTAGTCAACAAGAGCGACAAATCAGCTCGTAAATTACTTGGGGGAATTCCTTTTTGCCGCGCTCTCACAAGTACTTAAGGGAAGCATGGTGGCCGTGCTCCTAAGTCGGGCAAGTACTTTGGGATGGTGGTGTTCTCCTGGCGGTCGTGGTCGCCATGGTCATTGTGGTGGTTAATCACTGCTTGGTGAGCTTCAATGGCAAAATGTTGATTGCTGCCGCCGGGCGCATGTGGCTGTCAATCTGGAAATAGAAGTCCTCGTTGCGGAAGAGCTCTTGCTGGATCAGTGCCCGAGCATAGCAGGGCCCGCGAGCTTCTGTGTGGTGAAGGAAGTAAGTCCGGATGCGGGCAGCCCATGTTCCTCTTGCTAGCTCACACTGACTGACATGTCTTCGTTCCCTCCCTAAGCACTAGTAGGTGCGTGCCCAGCTGCCCAAGTCGAGTAGGAAGCTGTCCGAATCTGACGGTGCCACCTGGCTCCGTGCACCGCTCCCTCAACATGAAGCCAATGTACGGTCGCGGACGGGGCCTGGAAGCAAACTCCAGCGACCACGCGGTCAGGATACTTGGCCTTTTGGAAGAGATCCTGAAATCGCTTCTGTGGTCCTCAACTCTTTCGAAAAGCTCTCTTTGCATGCCAAGTGACCTGGATCGTATACTGACACCTTAGGAACGGACCGGACCCGCCGGGCTGGGACGGGAACCGACTCCGTGCAAACCGCCACGTGCCACCCAGTCTCTGTGTATCGCGGTAGCTCGCAATGGAAACGAAGATTGTTTCCCTCCTGCTTGCCATGACATTACGCCCTTGCAGGGGCACCTGCTTGCTGGATGCCTTTTCCCGCTGCTTTGTGTCGCTTTTTTCGCCTTGTCATACAGGTGTAAATCGTCGTGAGCATTCATCTGCCCACTTCTATAGCTATCGCAAGAAATCCATGTGCAGTCTATACCATCAGCTTGAGCCACATTTGAGAAGATACCGGATAGCTAGACTGCTAAACACCTGCCGAGCTGGTAGGATCGTAGCAGAGCGCTGCAGAAGCCGAGGCTGTTACCGTAGTCCCGCGCGTATCCGCCGTTACCATAGCCGTCGCCATAACCTGTGTCGTTGTAGTACCAGTCCATCATACCTCTGCGCGGCATGACATGAAAGCACGGCAGACATTTAAGGGACAACTCTTCACAGTGACTGCCGTCCACATCATGCAGCCAGGCCACCACCCTTTTTCATCTTGGCCAAGTCAAGCACAAGCAATCCCTTCTACAGTGCTGGGCCTTGAGAAAGAACCGCCCAGACAAGCTGACACGAAGAAGCGGGACGGTTCATCGGCTTCGGCCAAGTCCATCTCATTGGAACCCCTACAACGTGGGAGCAGAGAGTACTTCATGGCTTGAATTGACGCAGGCCTCTGAACGTTGGCGGGGTGTACTGCAACTTCAGCATGCATGCTTTTGGCAGGCCTCTCGGAGGACGAAGACTTTCGCCTTTGATGCAGGTAGGGCAACGAAGCCAATGGCTGTGCTTTCCATGTGTGTTGTGTCCTGTTCTGTTTTTCGGAAAGACCGCACAAGCAAGGAACCAAGAACACTAAGTAAAACGGCACTTGTTGCAATGATCCAGTAGATCCAGTAGGTTGATACTTGGGACTTGGGACCGTCCCCGACATCTCTATTCAAAAGTTGCTCCTTCCTTCGGCCTGTTGCATGCCGTATTGTCGTTATCCTGCTGTCAGGTCCACAGGCATGCAGGGCCATGCGACACTGAAGTATAATACCAGACAGCTTGCTGCAGTTTGCATGCCTTAATGTCACCTCCATCGTAGAAGCAGGACAACATGCTGCCCACGTGGAAAGGCTGTCGACACGTCTGGCCAAAGTATGGGACGAAGCACCCTGACCCTCTGAGCAACGGCCTGGATGCTGACCGCTTCCTCGCGGAGCTTTTCCTGGCAGTATCTGCGATTCATGACGGATCTTGCCACCTACAGGGCTGCTCGTTTTGCTCATGAGTTGCACAGGCGGCGCTTTCGCGCAGTCACGAATGGTGCCTTGGCTCGGCCATGAGCTGTACAAACCTGAAGGTCCTCAAGTGTGGGGTTCTGCTGTACACATCCGACATCTGCAGAGATGCACTCGCAGAGGGAAAACGGCCGACACTGGAGGTACAGATCGAGATTTCTTCTCAAGCTCAGAAGTGGCTGCCGACGACGCCTACCTTGGGAATGAGCAAACTGCATTTTGCTCCGTTTGGTCCCGAGTCTTTTGCAATTGTCGCTCGCAGGCTGGTTGGCCACCTCCCAGCAACTCGGTTATTGGGGTTCCCCGAAGACCAGCAAAGTGCCACCGGAATCCTGGAGGCATGTCATCAAGATCCCGTTTCGACTCGCGCACTCGCACTTGGCAGGCTCGGATTCGTCTAGGGTTTCGGCGCGCGCTCTCGTTTAACTCAAAGATCTTGAGGTTTCGACTTTACTCGTAGGGGAATCCCTGGCTCACCGGCATCCCCCCTCGCCCAAAACTGCTGCACCAAGCGAACATGCCAACGTGAATTTGCCTGGACCTGTACCTGAACAACTTCCGACACTGCTTTGATCGCGAGTGTGCGAGATTGCCGTCGTGATTGACGCAAATAGTTGCAGATGTCACTGCATTTTGACGTCGCTAGACAGCAGCCCGCACAAGGCCAAGGAGCAGGACAGCACGGATGGACATCGTCACGCCGCCCAACAGCTGATCACGGATGTCCCTCATTGCAGAACTCACTCCGCAGGATGACGGGACATGCAGAAATGCAAGGGCCTATTGAAAAGCACGTTGGGCGGCATCATCTGCTTGGCATGCACCTTTTGACGGGCTAACGTCACAAACAGCATCCCCAAACCAACGAAGATTCACGACTGCCTGTTCTCTGGCCTTGGCCTACGCCCCAGCCTTGGCCAATGACTTGTCCCACTTTGCACGCGCATAGCGCAGGACAATGGCCTTCAATCGCTCGGTACTGACCTTTGCTGCGGACGAACTTAAGTCCGCACAAGCTCCCCTGCTCTTGCAGTCCGGGAACATCCAAAGATCCACTGCGCAGCAGTCGCTGCCTGAGTGAAAACACTCCCGGTTTTCAAAGTCCTCAACTGACAGGTTGCTGGCACGACGCACCCTTTTGCCAAGTCACATCAGCGAAGGAGACAGGTCATGCAACGGGACCCAGCAGTCTTCCTAAGTAACGGCAAATTAGTGTAGTCGTTTCTGTGGCGGTGCTCGGTACAATAAATGCGGCAGCATTAGTCTTGGCGTGCGGCATCTGCCTCCGAATCCGCATCCGGCCAAGCCAAGGCCAGGAACTCCCGAACATGGAAGTCAAAGCCTTCAGGAAACAGGGTGAAACAGGGTGTCAGGGCTCAGATCCACGTCACGCGAAGCAAACGAACCCAAAGAAGTTTGGGGCGTCACAGGCATCCTCCGCATCCACGAAGAAGTCTGCATGTAAACCAGAGTCCTCCCAGGCTGTGCGCTAACTTTAAGACTTTTGGCGTGCAGCTGACGACAACTGCCTGGATTTGTTTCAGGCGCAGTCGGGGTTCGCTGTCCTGAGCTGCCGCACACACTTACGGCGATGGCTCCCCCTATGTATGGCCCTCCAATTCCCAGCCTAGCATCCACGAAGTTCCAAAGCTGGGAACCATTTTTCGAGTCAAGGTGGTCTGCAATCCACTGATTCGCGTGAACAACCAGCAAAGGAAGGCCAAAGAAGTCGGCACACCGCAAAGCCTGCGCTCTTCAGCAAGCCACTCCACCCCGACTTCGTGAAGCATTCCATATGAGACCTGATCCCAAAAGCCACACGCCCCCCCTGACGAAGCGCCGGCGCCCCGCCTTCTCCAGGTCCTGGGCATCCCGGATGAAGTCTCGGCCCCCATGCAAGAACTCCAAGAGCCGCTCAAACTCGTCGGCCGGCCAGCCAACCTTCGAGGAGGCAAACGGCCAGGGAGAAGGTGAAACATGAAGCTCCGCAAAGGAGCTTTGAGGAGGACTTTGACGTTTTGGGGATTCTTGAGCTTCTTGCGTGCGTATGCGTGTGTGGCTTGCTCCTGATTACTCAGAACTCTAGACCCCAGGCCCTGAACCCTGGATCAGAATCACGGAATCAAGGTTTCCTTTTGAAGGTTCCTGCGTTAGCCGCCAGGCCTTCACTTGCTCATGTGCAGTCTCGGCCCACTTTCCCGACAGCATGGCCGCAAAATAGCTGGAGGCCTCAGGTTGCGCGACGGATTAGCCTTGCTAGCAGCTGCTTTCTCTTACGACGACGACGACGACTAGTGGTCCTAGTTGTCCTACTACTACGACGACTGCTTCAACTGCAACTACAACTAAAACAACTTCTACCACCACGAGCACGACCACGTCCACGACGTGTAGCAGCTGTATGCAGTAGTAGTAGTAGTAGTAGTAGTAGTAGTAGTCGTCGTCGTCGTCGTCGTCGTCGTCGTAGAAATCGTAGCAGTAGCAGCAGCAGCAGCAGCAGCAGCAGCAGCAGCAGGAGCAGGAGCAGGAGCAGGAGCAGGAGCAGGAGCAGGAGCAGGAGCAGGAGCAGTAGCAGTAGCAGTAGCAGTAGCAGCAGCAGTCGTCGTCGTAGTGGTAGCGGTAGCGGTGGCGGTCAGTAGTTGTCGGAGATTGTGGTTTGGTAATAGTAGTAGTGGTAGTGGACGTGGTCGTGGTATGTAGTGGTCGTGGTATGTAGTGGTAGCGGTGGTGGTAGTGGTAGTGATGGTGGCTGTGATGGTGGGAGTGGGGGGTGGTGGTGCTGGTGCTGGTGCTGGTGCTGGTGCTGGTGCTGGTGGCTGTTGCGGTGGCGGTGGTGGTGGTGGGTGCCCGCCCAGAGTGTTGAGGTTCTAGTTTCGGATTCGTGTACTCGGGGTTTCGGATCACAGGGGAGCAGTTTCGGGCCCGAGTTTCGGAACAAACCCGGTCAGCTTCGGAAGCCTCAAAAGCTTCCAAGTCTCCGGGAGAAGGGTGGCAGTTTCGGTCCCACAGCGGTTGATTCTCAAACCACAGAGGACTCGGAAACCAGTGATTGAAAGCCTTGAAACGGACCGTTGAGTTACAACAAACACGAGGACAGCAACTACACAGACTACACAACGAGGACAACTGCAGGCACGACGAGGGAGAAACACATGCACGACCAAGATCCAACAACAGGCCAGCAACACGACCGCGACTGACCACGACGACTGCGAAACAATCGCCAGATCACTGGCCGGGTTTAAGAAACGCGGTATACATCGCCATCGTCTGAGGAAGCCTTTGAAAATGTGATCGACTGCCAACGCCTAATGAGCCGGCTCGCAACCGTGCTCGCCACAAGAACGGCCGGTTTAAGTATAAGGTGAACAGCTATGGCCTCAGGAAGGGCCGTGTTTAGAAACTTGATGAACTGCCTCGTCTGAGGAGGAGGTGGAGTTAAGATGTATGATCAATCGCCATCGTCTACTGAGGGGGCCGGTTTCAGAAATCAACGCGCCTTGCCGAATGAGGGCCCGGTTTCTTTTCCCTCGCGCATTGCTTGGAATCCTATGCCCGCTCGCGAGGTCTGACATTTGGGGAATAGAAGCAGCGGCCGAAACCTCTAGTGTTGCGCAGTCAATTATGAACAGCGCTTTGCCGTTCTTTGAGCATTCACTCTTAATTATGTTTTAGAACCTGGGGCGTTGCTCAACCAAGCTAAGGTTTTGCTTCACTGTCATGCAACACCTACACTGTCCTCTCTCTCATGGCTTCTGCTGCTCATGTTTCAAGTACTGCGGTCACTCACTATCGTCTGTTGACGGCGCCGACCTTGCGTCTTTGGCACCAAAACCATGGTGAAGGCAACGGCCGATTGCCTTCACCTTGACATCTGAAGCACGGTAAAGGCAACAACCGCTTTCGCTTGATGAGGAGGAGGCGGGTCTTGCAACGTGGTTGATCAAATTTGCGATGATGATTGCTCCCATTTTGCAAACCCGCTTCCATATTCGGCGATTGCGGTTGATCACATGTTCTTAAACCAGCCCCCTCCTTCGGCAACGACGGCTGATCTTTTTGACAACTTTACTTAATTCATAAACCCGCGCCCTCAGTAGGCGATGGTGCTATACCCGCCCTCATCAGGTGATGGCGGTTGAGCACATATATTGAACGAGCTTCCTCATCAGCCACCACCTGCTCTTTTCCCTTATTAGACGATGGCGGTTGACCGAAGTTTTGAAAGCTGCCTCCATTGGACGATAGCAGCCTGTCATATTTCTAGAACCTGCCCCCTTGATTAGGCAAAAGTGGATGGGCACAAGGAGTGGGTTTGCCGAGTTGGCGGATTGTGCGGTTGGCGATCACGTGAACAAGGTGCTGCATGACCTGAAACTTCCAGCTCTTGATGCGCACTCGATGAAGTTGAAGATCAAACTGATGCTCGACCATTTCGCACAAAAGGAGGGTGAGTGAGCCTGGATTGAAAGTATGATCTTGGGCTGCTTTCGGCGGATGCCCGTTTTGCTGCCCGGCACAGTGAGATTGTTACTATGTTTTCCAGTGGTTCTGCTCACAGGGTGCTCATCCTGTTTGTGGAGAGCATCAGTCCAAGCCGTGGGCCAAACAGCGTTGCCTTTGCTGTCATCGGCGTGAGTGTGATGCTGCTGTCCTACGGCATTGGGACGCAATTTTGGGTGGCTCCTCCTATGCTCAGTGCAAGTGAGATGAATCCCATCCATACAATCACCATTCAGTTTGAATATTCAGCCTGGGCAGTTGCACGCTGTTTTATCCAGCTAATCACTGCCGGGTCGACTTTCCTGTGCATTCTCATGTCTTTTACTTCAATCGTGCTCCTAGGCTTGTTTTCGGCATTCGCAACAGTGTCTGCCATGTGTTTGACACTTTTGCTCAACACCGTAATCGGTGAAGGCATGTAAACCAACTAGCGATGTCCTAAGTCATTGCGCGGTGCTTTCGAAAACAACAGTCACGATATCATCATCTGTTTTACTTGATCCCCCGATGGCAAAAAGCCATATACATTGTATCGGTGCTCGGGCATACTCCGAAACCAACCTCGAAAACCCTGAAACTCACACCTTCTTGTGGGAGGAGGGAGCAAGCTGGTAGGAACTACTTCTCGCCGCTCAAAAAATGGAGGTGATTACGAACTGACCATGTTTGGATCCGAAACTGCCCTCGCCATGTTTCGAAACACCGTTCTAGGCTGCTGACTTGGAGGAGCACAGGTAGAAAACCACCATAGACTGCTTTGCAGTCTTGGTTGGCACCGGGCTCGCTGCAAAGGAACCTGCGAGGCAAGCGGCATAGCATCATATTTATGGCTACATCGAACACGAGCATCGAACTGCAAACCTCAGACCACGACCAAAGGTTGTCGAGGGAGTGCTCACGGAAGCTCCGAACCAAGTCCTGGAAAAGCAAGCAAGACCACCGAACACAAAGAAATCTGAGTTGAAGGAATGACCAGCTGTTGACGAAGAACAAGCAAGAAAACACGAAGCCTGCTACTGCGGACTCCTCAATGGCAAAAGTTGCCCATTGAGGGCGATGCATCGGACGATCCAGTATTTCTGTAAGTCATTGTGAATGATGTTTTGTCGTGTTTTTTGGGAACTTCAACCAGAATGACCGAAAGAGTGCAGGGCCAAGATCCTGAGACAAACATCCGGAGCTGCGCCGTCGCCAGTTTCCATACAGGCGCTCGCGCCTCAGCATCCCAACACCACGAGGGCGGTCTAAGCCCACAATTTGGGACGGCAGAGTTAGGCAAGGCAGGGCCACAAGCAAGACTTGGCTTGAGGGACTCCTGTTCCCGCTCCGCTCTTTTTCTCTCCGCTTAGTGGGCACACTGCCCACAGGACAGTGCACAGTTTACCAATGCCACGAAAGTCGGTCTTTGAATAGAGAGTAACTTGAGTATAGCACAGACCACACACTGAAAAGTGGCCCACTTTCGACATGACACACTGGAAACAACTGCCGTGCCAACTTGCAGCGACTGCTGCGAGTGCTTGTTTCATGAGGTCTCTTCGCCGTGTTTGCCATAGCGTTGCGGCTGCAATGGGCTTTTCTTCGGAGGAAACATTAAAAAAGGGAACACCAGGATCCACCAGTAGGCACTGACGGTGGGCCATCCTGGAGGAGGGATCTTGCGGAACTTCCGACACCATCATCACCAGACAGTGCTCGACATCGTCAAGCACTGGCTGCCATCGAATGTTGAAGAAAACCAGGCTCGCTTTGCTGCTCAGCTCGACTGACTCATGCGCTGGCTTCACGAAGTTGGGTAAGCAAGGACCCGTCCAAGCTCGGCCAAGACGCCTGTAAGTTCCCCCGTCAGATGATATCTTTGGGATTCTGGCTTGCAGAGAGGCTGTGTCTGAAGAAGAGAGCATCGTTCGTGGACAATTAACGGCACTTCCATCAGGCTCAGGTAGAGAATACTCTGCGCTAAAGTCCACCAACATGCAGGAGGCCCAGGTTTATCAGGACAACCTGCATGTCCTGATCGCCTAATCCTACCACACGCTTGTCGAGCTTCTCCGTGGTGTGGTAGCTGTCCATCATCCCAGGAATGTATATAATTGTAGGACGTCCTGCGCTGAAATTCAAGCGGCCCGAATCACACTACAACGTTGCCACACACATTCCGAGCGAACTTCTCCCGGCTGTGATAGTTCTCCATCATCCCGGCCACGATGTCGAACTGCACCTGAGCCACGGCAATGCTTACAGAACCGAGTTTAACGCATCATTTTGGCACAAACTGTGGCATTACGTATCGGTTCACCAATACCACATGAAACGCAGGTAATTCATCCCTCCATAGTACAGAAAATCAAGGAGCTCGCATCGCGCTGAGGCGCTCCGAGGTTGACTCAGTCGTGTGGTGTCGTTGTTGACGATGGCCGCCAAGTAGTCCGTGATGACGTGTGTGTGTCCAGAATCGTGCGGAAACGACCCATAGCTTGCCACACCACCCTGTCTCGCATCAGCAGCTTGGAGTCCTTGAAAACCTTGCGCAAGCTGTTCGTGGCCGATGTAAACGACTCTGTCCACAGCATGGCCCAAGACCTTCGCCGACTGTCGCACTCGGCTCAAGGGCTGGTTGTCCCTGTCGACGAAGCCCACCAACGATCCGTTGGACATCACGTCCACACCCAGCTGCTCAAGCTGCATCCAAGCTTCGTGAGCATAAGCACAAGCTGTCCGTCCCGCTTGCAAACTTTTGATCAGGTCCTCGCACACCACGACAGTACTGAAAACTTTAGGCCAGGATTTGGCACTAGTACGTCCGCTCAATAACTGGACGAACTTGCCTTTCAACGGCTGGCGAGCTTGAGTTGAGCCGATGCCTGCGCCAGTTAAACGCAGCGAAGCCCAAGACACTCCCAAGACGATGAGATGAGCTTACTACGGACCTACCAACACATGCCCCTCAACCCTAAACTCTTGAATAGCTCTGAGCGTCTTTTCAGTTAACAGCGCTGCAGCCGGGAGGAGAGGCATCAACGCCAGCTTTATTCTACGGACCAGATGGCATTGCATTGCAAGGTATACTTCGCTAACAACTTCTGATGAACTGTCATCATTTTTGGGCTCCAAGCCTTGAATCCCGGTGGCCCTTTTGCTTAACCCCAAAACCCTAGCAGCCGCAGCAACCCCAGCAATTCCAGGGCCACTCCCCAGGGCCCTGAGCATCCGACAAAGCCAGGGCATCCCGGAGCCCGAGCTTCGCGGCCAGGCGAAGCGTGCGCTCCGCGAGGCCCAGGCCCACGGAGCCCTGCCGAGGCGTCGGGGCTTCGCTGTAGGTTATAGGGTTTAGGTTTGTTTTGGTTTTGTTGAACCCTCGTGTCTTTTGGCAACCTAGGGTTTAGGGGTTTAGGGTTTAGGGTCGGGCTGGGAGGCTGCCCGATTAATTAATGGGCTTAGGGCTTGGGCTTCAAGGATCTAGGCTTAGTTAAATGTTAAATGGGGAGTTGGGGGGGGTTTCTTTCCTACCGGGATGCTAGGGCGGGTCCAAAGCGTGCCATCACACCTCTTCAAATCCCTGGCTCCCGCAGCAAGCCTCAGCGCCAGGGAAGTGAATCTTCTCGCAGTAGACCCACTCGAGCAGCACGGAGATCACCTGGGCCAGTGTTGGAGCATCCCAAACCCTAAGCCTGAACCCCTAAACCCTTTTGCATCCAGGCCCTGCCGGGTACCCTGAACCCCTAAACCCTTTTTGCATCCAGGACTCTTGCAAACCCTAAACCCCTAAACCCTAACCCCAAATCCTGCATCCTTTCTTTGCAACTGGGCTTGCGAACTAGCCAGATCCTTGCAAAGATCTGGCTAGTCCCCAAGCCCAGTGGCAAAATCCTGCGCCCTGTTTTGAAACCGGACTTGATGACTTACACCCCATACCCCTTTTGAACCCAAGCTCTCATTGTCAGCTGGGAAGAAGCGCTGCCAAAAGAAACCTACTGTAGGGGCCTTGATAATTAGTTTTGGAGGTTCCTTCTTCTTTGACTATAGTATAACAATATCCCCAAAAACTGCGTGGGGATTTGATCCTGGTAATGTTCTGTATCGCTCACCCCACAAAGAGCTGTATTGACTGTTGGCGTGGTTGCCTTCTACAAGCTGGATCACCGTTACTTCCACTTCCACACACGCACTCCTATGCAGGCAGATCCAACGTTCGCTCGTTTTGCACACTCACGGCCGGCGGTGGATCGTCTGTGCACGGGATAGCTCTGTCTACTCGGAGGATCACAGAAGATTATAGCACTATAGCTATGGGCAATGCTTTCTAGAGCTTGTGCTCATTCTTGAGCCAAACGTTGCATGGGCGGTCATACTGAAAGGATGGATAGGCATTGCGGTGTGCGTAGCACTACCACAAGCCTACTCCCAGAGACGAGGGACGCGTGGCGTGCCCCCTTCCCTTGCACTTTACACGGTCTTGCTCACAGCTCTTATAGTGACACCTTAGAACTTGACAAGGCATCGCAGTCCGTTCGCACCCCCCATGAGTTGCGTCTCCGACGCTGCTCACCCGGAAGATGGCACGATAGGAATATCAGAAAAATTTGTTCCGCCGCAACTTTGACGCATAGATCAGAGCTTTTGCATCCCAATTAGAAACGTTGTGACACTCATCTACGTCGGTAACGATCCCCTGAAATGGCAAACGAATCAGGCGTCACCGAAGAAAGAAGCATTCGCGATGGAATACCACGTGCGAAGCACAGAGGTCACATGCTGGAAGATGATGTAGATCATGCGTTGTCTCGCCACCATCTTCGCGTTGACGTAGGATCGCGTTCCCAGGGCCGGAGGTTCTCCTCTGGATACTGGTTCCTCTGCTTTCCTTTGTCCTTGCCTTTGTTTCGGCCTTTGCCGGCGATGTAGTCGTGGTAGGAATTAGTGTTCCATCCACCATGTTGCTCATCTCCGGTTCTCTCACGTCCTTTTGAAGGTCCCTTTGCCGAGGAAGCGCTTGCACGTTCCTCCGTAGTGACTGGCGTGTCCACGATGGAAGTACCACCCGGAGGGAGATACTCTTCAGCCGAAATGTGATGTAATGCTTCAGGACGTCGAGTATTCGGATTTTGCTGTCTTTCAACTCTAGACTTGACCAATCGGTCCATGAAGTGCGCTGGCATTTGCACGTTGTGGTCCACCAGCAATCCAACGGTCTGGACGGAATAATCTGCATGAGTCAAGAGGATGCCGACCGGGTCGATGTACAGAAAGTCCACTGGTCCAGTTGGCGTGTTTCGTAGTACCGAAAATTGTTGATGTCCTGTCACCATCGGGATAACCTCACATAAGACGTTGAGGCAACAAAAGTGCATTGCCTTCACGTCTTCATCCTTGTTACTCTTCAAGTACGTGGTTGGATTGAAGTTATCTCTGCCGATTCCCATCATGTTGGCTCCCCGTGTCAATAGCGAAAGCATCTGGTTCGTCCGGAAGCGCTTCAAAGTGTAAGTCCCGTTGGGATCATACGACTTGAGGTTTTCAGGCTCCTTAGCAAAGCGAAGGATCTCCTCATCAGTCACGTCCCTGCTCACACCTGTTTCTTTGTCCACTCCAGCCAAAGTTCCCCACTTTCCGAGCACATCATAGCGTTGGCCATGTGCGAAATTCTCTCTCATCTGAAACAACGGCATAGTCGCCCATTTCGCGAATCCTGACCAAGCTTTGTAGATGGTTCTGCATACAACGAACGCCATGTACGAAAGAGCGGCCATGTTGGCGTCGATGCAATGGGCGTTCCGTTTGCCGTGGTAGTAGGGCGGCTGCATGGCAGTGCGGGCGATTTGCAGTTCAGGGTCGATGTTCAAAGACTGACCGGCGATGAGGACGGGACGTCGTTCCTGTGCCACTGCATCTGGTACTTGGTCGTCAAAGTCCTCTCCCGGTTCCGTGTCCATTTCTTCATCAGGTTCCTGTTCTGGATCGTCATCACCAGCAACGGACGGTTCTGGAATTGCTTCGGGTTCCGCAACCGATTCCGCTTCCATGGCTTCCTGTTCCTCGACGGTTGCCTCAGGTACTGCTGCTGCCGCAGCTTCCATCGTCTGAGCAATGAAGTCACTTGGGATCTCCGTTGGAGTATCCCGTTGTGGAGTACCTTGGTAGTATCCGCAAGAAACGAATTGTGACCAGCAGGATGTGCATCGAGAAAAGCATGCTGGAACAATGTTGTAGCACGCTGGGCATACCCTCATTCTCCTGCCATCCTCATCTCTTCGTAGATCTTCGGGTCGCCAGTTCTTGATGACAAACTTGATGCCCTTGTCCATGTAGTGATGTCGAACTGTGTTCTCCCTGTGGGCCTCCAAAACAGTGGTAAGGTCTCGCATTATCTGCTCCTTGCTTGTGTCATGGGGTCCAGGAGGCATCTCGCAAAGCAATTCCATGATCTTGCTTGGTGTTCGATATCTCTCGAATTCAGGAAGCAATGGAGATCCATTGTAGTCCAACACCATCTCTTTCTCCAATCGTTCATCATAGATCTTTTCCACCAGAGCGAACGAATGTGTATCCTGAGGATTCGGGACGCAAAACCATACTTCCTTCACGAACTGGAACGATATCGTTCGACCAAGGATGATGACACCGCTGTCAGTGATACGTCCACCTTCTCGGGCAAGATCTGTCGAAGCGACATGGAGGACCACAAGGGGCATGTGCTTGGCTTGCGGCCCGTGTACCCGAGCTTTGGTCGTTGCGTTCCGGTCATCGAACGGCGCGAATACCCCCCAGTAACTGTGGAGTCTGCCACCTCGGTTGTCCTGAAATCGACGCCGCTGGTCGAAGTCCCCGTCAGGATCCTCCGAACCAGGCATGACGCCCTGCAGAACGATAGAATCCAAGTTGCGGCATGCCGTAGCGTGGAACGCGCCCCCGAGACGTGTCAAGAGGGTCATAGATGGAGATATTGCGAACCGGTCCTTGTCCAACTGAAGCAAATTGTTCTGGGGATCGGAGTGCGTAGAGTGACCACTTGTGGCCCTGACAGCCCATGGCTTCACCCAGCCGTTGCAAACGTTCAGGTACCTCTGATTGTGTCGGCAACGGTCGTTGTTCTGGATCTCTGTGATCTGATCGGGAACCGACACCAACATGTTCGAGTTCGCAGATCCAAGAGTCTCTGTGCCGGGGTTCTTCACTCTCACACCTCAAGAATTGTAGCCGGATCTTGGCCTTGTGGCGTTTCGTGGCTGCAAGCATATTCCCCTGGAACAGTAACTGCAGTCTCTCATTGTACACTCTCTTCCTTTGGTACTCGTCGGTCCTTGATACCGCTTCGGTAATGCGTCTACTTTCGTGGGTCCATAGTTGCTCATGCCTCACCAAGTCCTCTATCAGCACCCACCCTCCTTCATCACATCGAATAACGCTGCTGAATGCCACTTGGCACCGGTTGTCAAGCCATTCCGAACCTGGGCGCCTGGCAATTCTGTGGCGTAAGTCAGATTGAATGCAGGATAGCGCCCATTCTGCGTTCATTCTTCGATGACGGTTGATGTTGCGAAGGACAACTTCATTCACGATGTCCCATCGATTGTTGATGAAGCTTGCACCCTTGGTTGGGATCAGATCAAGAATTCCGCATCGGATAGGCCATCCGCCGCCGATGGATTCGTAGCCTGAATTTGCCCATTGTTGAGTATTCTCATCATACTCGAAGCTTGGACGATCTCCTCGTTGAGGCAGTCGTCGGTCACGATGGTCCGAAAGCTGCTCAATGAGATCCACCACCCGCTGACTGTTCTCGGGTCCCATTTCCCGCAGCGGTACACCACAAGCGTCATGTAAGCCTCGACGGTTCTCCACTTCCGTGCATAGGTTGTGCTTGTTCTCGTAACGAATCAAGACCACATCACCCCGAACGGCTTCGCCTCCGCGTCGCGGTCGGGCTTTGGCCTTGGGTCGTCGGTCCGAGGAAGCAACACTCACATGGTCTGTGGTATCAACGTCCATTGGCTCAGCTTGTTGCGTAGGTGGTCGACGTGGATAACGAAGAAGGCTGTCCCTGATGACCTGAATGCTTCGAAGTATCAGATCTCGGGTTGCAGCATTTTCGGTGCAATCGGACAGATGATGTGATTCACTGCCACAAGCAATGCAGAACATGAAGTTATTGCTCCCGACCGACATTTCGCCCTGAGCAAGTATTCCCACATAGTCCTGAAGCTGTGTGACGAGCACCTCACGAACTCTCTGCCTGGGATCGGGCTCTTCAGCACCCTGTTCTTCTTCAGGTTGCGCATCCACGTCAACGTCCTGTGTCGGTATTGGTGGTGCAACTGAAACCCCTGGATCGCCCGTGACGTTGTCAACGGCCTGTGTCTCGTCGTTCCTTGCAATTTCTACGGGGTAGACATCACCATCGACGATCACAGTGAAATCAATCACGAGGTCAGCGGACAAGTTGTTGACGATCTCAGCGACTTGTTCATTCTTCTTGGGTGGTGTCCTCTTGCGTGGGGAGTCAACCGTGATGAGCTCGATAGCCTCGGCCGACGCATAGCGGAAGAATGATCTTTCGATTCCTCTCACGCACGCATTTGCCCCTTCAAGACCACCCCAATTTGGGAAATGATTTGGATACCTCATCGCTATTGTAAG